ATAATAGAAATCATGTAATTTCCAATAAAATCACATTTAACATAGGAATGGTTATTACCCCTTTTAAGGTACAAGGATGATAATGACCCCTCTTGCAAAGTTGAGGAAGTTCTAGCAGTATTAAACCATTTGAAAATAATAATTTGTTTAATGAGTATATTGAACCGAAAGATATATCAATTATTTTTCAATTATAAAAAATGTCATTTTTCTAGAGTAAGTTGATTAGATTTGTACACTAAGTCTTCTTTTATATCTACCATTCATAATTTTTAATAAATTAATACGTAAAAAATTATTAATTATCAAAATGAAAATTCTAATATATATTTATAATTAATTATTATTTTAGAATTTTATAATTAGTAAAAAAAATTTATTAATTACAAAATTTAAAAATACAAACAAATTGCGCAAAGTGCAGTTTTAGGTCTAATAATGATTAATTATTAAAATTATAGCATCTTCAATGGTGTCGCAAGAAAGAGTCTCTTGTTTTTTTTTTTCTTGTCTATAACATGAAGGGAAAATGTGGTTAAAGGGATTTCTTTTCTTTTATTTGTTTTTGTGAATTAAATAAAATAATATTGATGTAACTTACGAGGAAACTTTTGTAAATCACTTAATATTAAAGTGAAAAATCTCTTAAAAGTTGATTAAATAAAATAGCATATGAAATTAGAAGACATTTGGGAAGTCGCTCTAAGAGAGTAGTTATTGTGTATACTCTAATACATGTCAAACCCTCATCGCATAATGGCTGTTGTTTTCTTTTGACAAAACCTTACCTTAAACCCTTCAACTTATCATAAATTCTCGATTAAATCTTTAAACTTTTATTGAAACAAATGAATTTTTGAACTTGGTAATTTGAGCAATTTAACTATTTTTTTATTACAATGAACTGAATGTCCGTTTATGTGTTGCTTGTGTGGATAATGTTAATATTTGTTACATAAGTAATGATATGTCAATACTTTATCCACAAAAAGCATAAGAGTAATGATGGAGGGGACGAAATCGAGGGACGATTTCGGGGGACGACAAGTTATGCAAGGGTCAAATTAGTAATTGCACCACATGCATGAATCCTCCCATCATTTGTCGTCCCCCAAAATCGTTCCCTGATTTCGTCCCCTCCATCATTACTCAAAGCATAAACGGGCATTGAGTTCGTGTAAAGGAAAGAAAGTGGGTTAAATTGCCTTGATTACGTTTAGAGGCTTGTTTACTTTAATAAAAGTTTAGGTACTTAATCAAGAATCTAGACTAAGTTAAGGGGCTTAACAGAAGGTTTTGCATGTTCCTTTTATCTCGTAACTCAGTTCCTACAATCTACATCCACTCATTTCTCACTCCCATAAAGAAAACTCCTCTCAGCCTAACAACATAATTTTCATTTATTCTAAGCCCAAATAAATTTTATTTTATTTATTAACCCAGCTCTAGTTCAATAAGATAGCTCATGTTCATTAAAACTAAGGTCAAATCGGTATAAATTAATAGTTTAGCCCAACAAGAATTAAACCAGACTTATATGGACTAAGCCCACAATTTGAATTAACAAAACCATTATAAAATATATAAAATACTAACAAAAATTAGTAGAAGTAGATATGAAGTTAATTAAAAATTAAAAATTTATATTTTTAGATGAAATGTTAACGTGAAAAAAGGTTTGCTCAAAGTATTGTGAAACGAAGCTGAAGTTAAATATATAGATATATATATATATATATATTTATATTTATATATTTATATATCAATTATAAAAGTCAAACCATCAAGTCTGAACTTAATAAACCAGAGACCCAAAACAACTAAATCCAAACTGGCCTGACCTCTTTGCTAGGTATAATATCCTTTTGGTCAATCAGGCTAATTTTGTCTCATATTAGGTGGCAGGTTAGGTACATTAACAATTTCTCCATGTTCAAATTACTTTAGTCCCTACAATTCACACTTTGGAAACAAAACTTTCGCTAAATAAAATCTGAAAAATCAAAATTTACCTCACGTTGTCTCCGTGACTCCGTCCCCGAACTGGAGGTGGCCTTGTGACAGAATCCTTGATTTTCCTTTTATTCTAAGCCCAAATAAGTTTTATTTCATAATATTTTCATTTATTAAACTAGCACTAGCAGAGTAAGATAGGTGGCCCTAAGTTATTCGTTAAAACTTAGGTCCAATGGGTATGAATTAATGAACTAAGCCCAGAAACGTGTCTCAAAAGCCCAATTTTAATTAGCAAAACCCATTATTATAAAACTCAATCCACAAACCACCTCACCAAAAATCAATCAAATCCCAGTGCCA